CGCATTCCGCGCCCGCCCCGCGGCCCCGCCCCGCCCCAGGGCGCGTCCAGCTGCGCGGCTTTCCCTGCTGCTCCGGTGCCGGGCTGCGAACGATGGCGCAGCAAGGGGCCGCGGGGGCTCAGGAGCTCGTGTTCTGTGTGAACGGGAGGAAGGGAAGTACGGGCCGGAGAGAGGGGGGCTGCTGTGCCTGAAGCAACCCCGAAGGGCATAGATTTGGCTTCCTCAGATTTATTAGAACGAGTGTAACCGAAGCCTCACACAAACCTCCGGAAGAAGGTTGGATGGTTGCATCCCATTTTGGCTAGCTCTGCTATGTTTGGGAGAAAAAGTGTGTCAAAGTGAAACACACTTTCAGCTGGGTATCAAACTTGGCTGGTAAGCAAACCCCTTTTTCCACTTGGATGTCTGGCTTCTCATCTTTGATGGTGTCAGGTTTTCAGAGGCACAACTGAAAGCAAGACTTTAGTGCCCAAATTTGGACTATTGAGCGTAAAGATAATATTGCTAGGACTGGTTGTTGATCCAAACCAAGTGTAATGAACTAGCTGATTCTAAGTGACCAAATAAGAAATACTGTACTCGATCAAGAGTGTGGATATTTCTGTTGTCAGTTTCTTACAGCAAGTGAAGGTTAATATAAATAAAACTAGAAAAGAAATCGCTACTGCCGATAGCCTTACAGACTTCCTCTAATGTTTATTCGAGTATGTCAGAGTGCCAGGGAGACTTTAAAATCTGCAAATCATTAGTTAGTTCTTTATGCTGTCTTTAAAGTTCTACATTTTTATTTCTAGTGTGGCCGAAGGTCAGTTCCCTCAGTATAACATTTCACTGAGCACCAGTTATTTTTAGTACTTGCCCGGTGCCCTAACAGTTCTTTTCTGGAAGTGTATGTGTCTGAAAAGGAGTTTCCAGGAGTCCAAACTCTCCTGTGGTGTTTGGCAATTAGTGTAGTACTATGAGAGGGAACCAGAGAAGGATTCTCTTCTGGCCTTGTGTGAATGTAGTCTGTGCCCTGGATTACGAAATGCCTTGGTTTCTTAATTAAACCTTGTTTTTACTTTCTTGCTGTAGATAATAGAGAAAAATGCTGATCCTGAACAAATGCTCTTGGCTTATCTGCGAAAGAGGCGTATCCTTTTCTTGTCTGTTCCCTAAAGTCACTCATGAAAGCCTTATTCAAGTAAAATTCTAAGAAATTTTAATTCAAGGTTTAATTACCAGATTAAGGAAGTTGTGATAGCTTTAAGATAAATCAACTGCACTAAATGATGTCTCTTTCTTAATCCAAATATCCTTCAGTTGAGCTGCTGTATTTTTGGCCTGGCTTTTTAAAGAGATAAATTATGCCATCAGGCGCAATGAATATGTGTCTGTGTTCCTCCCCTCCCACCTCATAAAGAAGTCTAAAAACCTAGGGGTCAGTAACTTGACAGAATAAAAGTCCCCAGGCTTTGTAATAGTCTCTCTCCTGGTAAAGGGGAGATCTTGTGATGAAAACCTGAGACTGATGGAATTTTGTGGGGCAAAAAGGCATCTTCTTTTGGTGGCGTTGGAACATTAAAGTAGCTGTTTGTTGATTCACAGTTTTAGACTGGCCACTGTTCCAGATTCACAGAAATGAGCACTTCTCTCAGAAGTGTGATCCTTCAGATGTGATGCAAGGCAAATATCCTGTCTATAAATGGGCCTTCTGGGAGAAACTGGGAAATTTGTTTTAGTGTTCCACTGGAATTTCAAATATACAGCTGATTTGCCCATTACATATTTCTTCCTTTCCAGTTTTCACTTGGAGAAGTAATTTTCACTTCCCTTTTCTGTCACAACTTACTCCTCTTCCAAAATAAATTATAATCAAGTTTTCTGTTTTCTTGGGAAGAGGATTTTGGTCATGTAACTTCTTAGCTTCCATCTTGCTTTCACTGAAAATTTATTCCAATATAGAACAGAATCCAGTACATATGCTGATACCAGACAAATTCTGTGTTCCTTAGGAGTTTAGGAAAAAAGGTTGTCTCAAGCCTTTGAGTGGAATAAAGCCCAGAATGGAACCAGATAATTATTTTCCCTAATGACAGCATTTTCAGTCTGTCTTACAGGAACTAAGTATGGCTGTGGAGGAGGTGGTTGTGGTGCTTGCACAGTGATGATATCAACTTATGAGCCAGCTTCAAAGAAGATACGGTATCCTCAACAGAATATTTTGAAACTGCAGAAAAATTTATGATTGTTGATACCATTTCCAGATATGAAACCTTAAAAACAGAGTTGTAGAACTTGTACTTAATAGTAGAAGTATCTAGAGGAAAGGTCACTTTAATCCAAAAGGAGAATGCTGGAAAAATTGCTGTTGATTCAGCTGTATTGTAAATTTGCTGAACTATCATACTCAAATGCTTGATTTATAAATAAATACTGATAGCCCCTGCAAGAGGTCATAGGAGGCATTAATTTGAGATTCTTTGGCTTGACCACTGGAATGTGGCTCCTACCTGCAGCTCAGTATGGTGGTTTAAGTCCAGCTAGTAACTGAGAACCGTGCAGGTGCTCACTCACTCCCCCCAGCGGAATGGGGCCGAGAATCAGAATGCTGAAGGAGAAAATTCATGGGTTGAGAAAAGACAGTTTAATAGATAAAGCAAAAGCTGCTTGTGCAAACAAAGCAAAGTAGACAATTTACTCACTACTTCCCATCATCAGGCAGATGTCCAGTGACTGCTGGGACACCATCATCTGTGATGGTTACTTAGGAAGACAAACACAATCACTCCAAAACTTCCACCCTTTCTTCTTCTTCCCGCAGTTCTATATGTTGCACATGATGCCACATGACATGGAATATGATTTGGTCATTTTGGGTCAGCTGTCCCAGCTGTGTCCTTCCCAGTTTGTTGTCTCCCAAAGTCTCCTCATTGGTGGGGTGGGGTGAGAGGCAGAAAAGACCTTGACTCTGTGTAAGCCCTGCTCTGCAGTAACTAAACATCCCTGTGTTATCAGCACTGCTTCCAGCACAAATCCAGAGCACAGCTTCAAACTAGCTACTACTCTGTCCCAGCCAAAACCAGCATACTGTCATATAATTGGTGGGAAGGTAGGGTAGGCACAAGTGTGAGTCTTATCAGCCCTTTAATACTGAACTCCATTCCTTACATCCCACCCACAGAAAGAAAGATTTTGAACTGAAACCTGGAGTTTGAGTCCGTAAGCTAAAGACTGGAATAAATTGCTTTTAAGTTGAGAAAATATCAATCAAATTGTTAAATGGTTACATGTCATTGTACGCTGAAGTGTTTATTGGGTGGGGAAAAAACATTCCAGCTGTCCTTTTGTACAATTACATTACATTGGAATGCAACACAAATGAAAATGTTTAAAGTTAATGAAAGAGCTAAAATTAAAGCAGACTACTGAAAAAATTAAACTGTATTAAAACCCAATAATTTTAAATAATTTCATTGAAATTATTAAATGCTTTGAAGAATTTTCATTTTGGTGTGTTGTTCTGTAGGTGCACAGTTTGTGGTGATTGGGAGTGGGGCTGTGGCTGAGCCTCATCCCCAGTGGGCTACAGCTGTGTAGGTCAGGTGAGCAGCATTAAAAGCAATTAGAGCTGGAGTGCCCAGGGGCACTGACCAATCACCAAAGGGAACAGAGGGCACACAGGTGCAATGCATCAACATGAAGGTATAAAAGGCTGGGCTAAAGAGCAAGAAGGGCAGACACTTGCAGCCTTCTGAAGTGACATAATGTTACTCTGTATGGGCATACTCCTGAAGCCTTCTGAAGTGGTATGATGTTACTCTGTGAGTTGAAGCTTTCTCAATTGTTTGATGATACTCTGTGGATCATGGCCTTCTCAACTGCAAGGTATGCTGTGGCTTATGCTGCAACATTGTTCCTAAATAGGAACAATGGTATCTATTTTACATCAGAATTTCCTGTGGATCGGAATTTTGATTATAAGTTTGCAGCAGTAATTCTTTACTTTCTTCTGATGACTACAGCAATCTTCCTTTCCCTACCTTTCTTCTTCAAAATACAGTTGACAGATTCCTTGTGGGCAAGAGAGACGAGAGGGCAATTAGAAAAGACTGAGGTATTAAGGAAGATGTAAATTCCATTGAATTGTCCTTATAGATATGCTTTTATATGGGGGTCAAGAGACAGCTAAAAAGTGATCACTTCTCATTCCAAATGTTAATAGTGGCTGCTTTGTATGTAAGTATGAGCTATGTCTTGATTGACTGAAAAATAATACTCAGATTTGTTTATTAAATAATATTCATGTTCTTTATTCCCCTTTATGTTCCAAAGACACTATTCAGCCAATGCATGTTTGCTTCCCATTTGCTCCTTTTATGGTGCAGCAGTGACTACAGTGGAAGGTATTGGAAGTGCCAAAACCAGGATTCATCCAGTTCAGGTGAGAGTGCAGTATCACTATATAGGAAGATTACTAATTTCTTTTTTGTATGGAATGAATTTAGTGACAGTGCTTTTAGGGCATGGAAATTTAATAAGATTGTTGTTTTCCCTGCTAAGTGACAACAGAGGGCAGGGTTGTTTTCTGGTGGTTGATTGATCAAGGCTGATGATGGAACTTACTTTAATATTGACAGTCTGATCAAGTAGTTGATACGTGATGATTGTTGGAGTGGGTCAGGCTTTGCTCTCTTTGGGCTAATGACACATCTTGGACAGTGTCCCTTTGGTTCATGTTTTAGTATAAGTGCAAAAAAGACAGAAGTCTGCTGAAGGTTACTTAGCTTCTTTAGTAACATGTGCATCAACATCACACCCAAAATAATTATTTGCATTTGATATTGTTTTAAATGTTTTACTTAAAAAGTCTGGTTTATTACCAAGGCAACATTTTGTATGGCATCACCTATTTAAGAGAGCATTCATTAGAATGGAGATGAGTGCTGGAAGGAGTGTTGTTTGTGGTATTTCGTTTCAGGAAAGACTTGCCACGTGCCATGGCTCCCAGTGTGGGTTCTGCACACCTGGAATGGTGATGTCCATATACACTTTGCTAAGAAACCACCCAGAACCAACTTCAGAGCAGATGATTGCAGCTCTGGCTGGTAAATATTGCCACTTTTTAGTTTGCAGGTGTGTTCCTGAAGCATTTCTTCAGGTGCTTTGTGAGTGCTTGTCTGTGTGAGTATACATGTCTGCATGCATGGAGGATGTACTCTTACAAGCTGTGCTTTCTAGAAGAGTTGCTGCTGGATGGAGGCCTTGTATTCCCTGTCATTCTTTTATCCTGGAAAATGAAACACAGAGCTGTGGACTGTTTCAGGTGCTCAAAACATCCCCATATGTGTCTTTTGAAATGCTTAAAATCAGATGTGCAAAAATTATGTCATATTGGAGAAGCAGCTGCATGTGAGCGTCTCCAAGGTCCCTTTATGCCTGGTGTTGAGAATGTCATAAACCTTGCAGGACAGGCCCTTTGCAGTAGGATTAAAACAGATAGTCTGCATCTCTTGGCCTTATCTTCAGTAAGGGAAAGTGTGAGCATTTATTGTAGGTAAAATAGCCTTCTGTCATCTGTTGTGCTCTAGAGCCACAGTGGAGCCAAGGACATTTCCTGTTGCTGTGTGGTGAGTTTAAAGGTGTAACGTTAGTTTCCTTCACTTCTAGAAAAAAAGTCAGGGGGAAAGAGAACAATATTTTGAGTGGGTAAAAAATACTGTACAATCTCTTATTCTCCTGCTGACCTGGAGCCAGCATTCACTGTAGTGCAGATCTCAACTATTTCATACACCCCTTGAAACAACAGCATTTTTTGTCAGGAGCTGCAAGGTCCTAAGTCTTGTGTCACTGTTCTGTTTTTTATTTTTGAGAGCTGACACTTCTCCTTGAGCTTAAAAAACACAAAACTCACATAAATATATGACGTTCTAAAGCCACATCTTTAGAGCAAAACCTTTTCTGACTGATTTCCTTCCTTCAGGGAACTTGTGCCGCTGTACTGGATACAGGCCAATCTTAGATGCCTGTAAAACCTTCTGTAAGGTAAGAAGTACTGGTGATAGGAGTGCTAGATTGGGGGCATCAGTGTATATGCATATACAGGCCATCAAGATTTTCACTGACCCTCTGTTTAAAGGTGTCATTCTGAGTAAATGGTGTAAAAAACCCCTTAGAAAAATTGATAAACAGAAGTGAACATGGCGTCTAGCCTGGATTATGAGGAGTAATCTGAAGTAACTCCATGTGGTTTACTGTGAGTTAGTACTGGCATGAATAAAAGCAGAATTTCAGTCCACGTTCTTAGAATTTATCACGCACTGCAATGTGTCAGAAACCTACCAAGGAGAAATGGGAGTGAACAGTTGGTAAAGGAAACAATACAGACCATCTACATCTGCTCTCACAATGTCAAAAGAATTCTACACAGTGGGAATTATTTTGTATTAAGGATGTCAACATTTGATGACTTAAAATAATTTTTTAATATCATTCCTTTAACACTTAATCCTTCTAATTCAGCTTGTTAATAAACTTCATCTAGAACTTTATTGAAATATAGAGTCACTCTTATCTTATGAGCTTTAACTCATTGCCATTCTGGGCAGTATGTCACTAATGGGATTTTTGTATTTTAGGAATCCATTTGTTGTCAAAGAAAAGCAAATGGAAAATGTTGCTTGGATCAGGAAGATAATTTTTTTGACAATGAAGAGAAGGTAAAGTTTTAAATATACTACTGACCCTGCTTCAATATAAAACTTAGAGAAAGAATATTGCATATAGTATTTGATAAATATGATATTTTATTATTCCTCGTGAGAAATTTGGAAATATTTTGAAAAATTGAGGATTCTATGTGTAAATTTGTATGGGGGGGCTCTGATAGCACTATCTGTGGTCAGATAATTGGTATAAGGTAGTTTGGGTCTCCAGAGCTGAGATTTGAACAGCTCTTCAGGGTCAGTACTATTAATAGTCTGAGCTTTACCAATACAGTGAGAATTACATTGTGAAAGACATTAGGGCATATGTGAAATTTGCTTAAATCAATGATCAGTGATGCTCTGAGTACTGGTATCTTAGGAAAACTGCTGACTTGACTCTGGAGAATTGATACACTCTAAAAAATTAGAGCTATGATTGTGATTTTATGTGAAACCTCTTATCCATACAAGTATTTCACCTTGTTCTTAATTTTCTTTCAGTAATAGCTGATCTACCTCTTTGGGTTTTCAGTACTTTAGGTTGGCATGAAGCTACTTTGTTATAGTAGAACTACAGGAAGCCTGTCCTTAGTCCTTCAGTTGCTTGCTTCTGCACTGTCATTTGTGTTAGCAGTAGCATTTAAGAAAATATTATGAACACTTCTTTCACCTCAGCACCTCCAAATGATGCATGGTGATTTAAAAACAAATCCAAATGATAATGAAATTACTACATTTTTTACTAACTTCAGTGGCAGTCTATTGGTTTGGCTTTGCTTTTGCTTTTAATATTGTTTTGTGAAATTAATGATGAGAGAAAATTCTTGGTCTTTGCTTGTCTTCTTTTTAAGGTGTCCACCAGCCATCTGTTTTCAGCAGATGAATTCCAGCCCTTAGATCCCACCCAGGAGCTTATCTTCCCTCCAGAACTAATGGTACCTTTTGCTGCTTGTAGACTATTTGTTGCTCTGTTCAGAATTAATTCTTAAGTCCTGCTTAGCAGTAATTCATCAGAAGACATGTCAGAACGTTTTAATGTTGTTATACTCCTTGTTGTTTTTTTGCCCAGTAAGCTTATTGAATATTCGCATACCAAAAAAAAGTCATATTGGGAAAATGAAGCTGCAGAGTTAGATGTCAGGTGAGAAGGTAAAGAAGCAACTTAAACTGAATTTTCAGTCCAGCAGCTGAAGATAAAAATACTTCACAGCAAACTGAATAGCAAACAATTTTTAACATCGGAAAACAGTTTTGTGGCTTAATAGTTGTGTTAGTCTGTTCTCAGATGGCCGCCCAGATCAGAGAGTGTTTAGCCCCTGTGATTAAGGTATGCCAAAGATATAAACAGCTGGAATTGAAAGCGTTAGGCATCCTTAATTATTGACAGCAGTATTTGCCCTAGAAAAACTGAATGCTGTTTGTTTTACTTTATTACCATTGTAGAGATTCAAAGCCAGATTCTGTAGTTAGCTGACTGCTTCTGGAGAAAGATTGATGACTGCAGGACAGGAGTTCTTTACTGTGTGTTTGTACCAGCACTGGTTCACAAGCTATTTCCAAGTGATCAGTGCTAGAACAGCCGGAGACACTTAAGTGTATGCATAATCTAGAAGGGGATGCTGCTGTCAGTGCCATTGGTGCTCTCCAAGAACTACTACTAAGTATTTTTTCATCACTTTTTTAACAGTTTTAGCAATTGCAGGATCTATCCCTACATCTTTTGCTAGGGGACTGTTTATTATCATTCTTGTTTATAAGCCCACTGGAATTACTTGAAGACCTTTCACCCACACAGTCTCGACTTTCATCATTGTGCAAACATTAGCCAGCATAACATTTCTGTCCCCTTTTTATCCAATTTTAAAGGACTGTGTAGAATTGCTGTTGTTTAAGAACATTTTTGACTTTCAGTCTATTGTCTATTAGGCCTCACTTCTGTCTGTATGTCTAAATATTTAAATCTGCCATGTTTCTCCATCAGAGAATGGCAGAAAATCAACCAAAAAGAACTCTGGTTTTTCGTGGGGAGCGAGTAACATGGATTTCTCCTGTAAGCTTGGATGAACTGCTGGATCTGAAAGCCACCTACCCTAAAGCACCTCTTGTGGTTGGGAACACCAGTGTGGGTATGTATGTGATCAGAACAGCTCCTGTTGCTTTAGTTCCAGTGTGCATGAGAGGACTGGGGCTACGTTTGTGGTTCTTTTTGCATCTTCATCCCTAAGCTTACGTTCCAGTATGTGGGAGCTGTCGTTATGGAAAAGCTTTTTGTCTGCGTCTATTCCTGTCTTGTAGGACCTGACATGAAGTTCAGAGGTGTGTTCCATCCAGTTCTTATTGCTCCTGCAAGGATCCCTGATCTGAATGTGCTGAAATACACAAATGATGGTCAGTAAACATTACTTTTTTCCAAAATAGAAGATTTCTTTGCAGTAAGGAATGCTGCACCATTCCAGAGTGCTGAGCAACTCATTCCCTAAGCGTGCTTGGCTGTTTCCCAGGTCAAGGGGCTGTTGCCAAACACAGTGCAGGAGGGTTTTGGCTTCCTGACTCAGTGCAGAGCTGACCAGCAATATTATCTTGGGCCTTAGTGCAAGGGTGATTATTCTGGCAATACTGGTTCTGGTGGTCAGTCATGCAGGATTTGCTCTGTGACTGCTGAATAGCAGAGAGATCCTTACAGAACCACAGGGAGAGTTAGCATGTGGCATGCTTGGTTACATTAGAAAAAAGGCTGTGATTAAACTGGCATCACTGATATGCATTGACTAATCTTGTTCTCAATCATAACAACATTAATTATAATGGGTTAAAAATGTTGTACCTCAACTTACATGTTTATACTAAGCGTGGAGATTTTTTTAGCTAGACTAGGTTTTGGGTTTTAAATAATTTCTGGTGGATTAGAACTACAACCAGAACAGGTCTCAGCTTAGTATAATAGTCTGAAGTAGTTGAATAAAAATTACATTGTACTAGCTTATAGCCAAATTTTTAAGGAAAGTCATATCTGATTAATTATTTGCTATATGCCCGAAAGGCACTTTTTTCTTAAGTGATAAGCTGTGTTTGATAGTTCTGTCGTTGCATTTAGAATATCTATTTTATTTCTGGTCAGCCATCCAGTTCTATTCAAAGACTAATTTATTCTTTGCTGAAAAGTAGCTAGGAATTGAAAAAAGCTGGGAGAATTCTTACTCCTTCTTTAAAGTGTGTAAATAAAACCTAGGTATTTGAAGGTGAGACTTACTAGTCCTAAACAAGAGATAGGCAGTTTAGTTTGCCAGCCAGAAACAGCATTTCCTCTCTTTCATCAGATTTAAATGCAAAATATGTTTTGATTAAATTTTTCTTTTAAATACACAAAATTTAATATTGCTTTGCTTAATTAAAATGCATTAAATTTATTTCTGTTTTCATTTATACATTTAATTGAATCCCAGTATTCATTGAAAACATTCATTTATTATGTAAATAATTATTTTTAATAGAAGGGAACTGTGTACCATTTACAAAAAAAATCAGAAGTATAATCTTACAAAAAAAACTTCCGAAGTAAATGCATATGAGTTCTCTTTCGAGTGGGAAAAATGATACTGTCTTCATTGTTAGGACTATTTGGGTTTTTGCTGCCAATGCTACCTACCCCCATGTTAGAAGAATAACTAGCATGTACATATGCAAAGGAAGATGAAATTAGGATGGAAGTCATGCTTTGGAATAGGAAGTCTTTTGAAAGCGTTTTGAAGCTGACTCACCTTTGTGTGATGTCTCCTAAATTTTTACTCAGTCAAAGCAAGGTGTAAGGGAAGCAGTTGGGATGTGCAGCTGGAAGCACAGAAGGGATTTCCCTTTCAGCAGAGGAGGTGAGGTATTAGTTCTATTTCATAATTTCTAGGGATTTTACCCTCAGTCTCCTGAAATAAAGGTTCCAGTTCCTTTAAAATGCAAAGGCTTCTCTCCTTTTATCTGCCTTAGCTCCCATGAGCTGTCCTAACTCTTCAGTCTGAAGACACTTTAAAACCCAGGCAATAAAGCAATGCACGTGTTACACTTTCATAATCTTTTGGTTACAGGGTTAACTCTGGGAGCTGCCTGCAGCCTCTCTCTAGTGAAAGACGTCTTGACAAATGCAATTGCCAAGTTCCCTGAAGAGAAGACAAGGGTTTTCTGTGCTGTCTTGCAGCAATTGAGAACTCTGGGCGGAGAACAGATAAGAAACGTTGCTGTATGTTGGGAATTACTTACAATTACTATTTGAAAAAATTGTAACAAATGTGAAATTGGTCCTGACCACATGTAGAACTTGCATTTTTAATTTTGATTTTGCCATGAATTTTCTATCAATACCTCTTTTTGTAGCTTTCAATACGTATTAATGTACATATAATTTGCATCTCATATTGTCACTTAATATGATGATTACCGAGAAAAGTAACATAAACTTCTTTATTTTTTCGAGTCATTTGGTGGAAACATCATAAATAGAAAATCAACATCAGACTTGAATCCTGTTCTGGCAGCCAGCAACTGCATGCTCAATCTGGCTTCAAAAGGTAGGAGGAGATAGCCTGTCTCTGTAGCATTTCAATGTTCAAAGGGCTCTTAGAGATTTAGGTTCCTTGCAGAATTTTGTCATCTTCCTTCTGAGAATTTTATCTTTCATAATATCCATCACAGAATAACAAATATGTTCACTTTCAGAATAAAATACCAAAAAGAGAAAGGAAAGAGCAATAGCATTTATTTCTTTCTGGACTCCTGGAAATGCTCAGAATCTCAGGGGAAAAGCAAAAAAAGAAAAGAAGAAATGAACCCAAAACCTAAACAACAAAAGCCCCACCCTCCTAATAACATTCTACTTTTGCAGCAGTTCTTTACCTCTCAGTTTGCTTCCTCATTTTGTATGTTTTAGACTGAAAGGTAGTTATGACAGCAGCTGCAGAGATCTGGAATAAGTTGATAGGGTTGAGGGTGGAATCATCATGGCAGT